CAGACCACACCACAGGATCAATCCTTCTCTGAACAGATGTGATCAATGAGGATTCTCCCGCTCTCTCTGTCACTCTCCTTCCTCCTCCTCTCTGTTCCTCTTCCTCTTCGTCCTCTCCTACCGGTCTTATCGCTCACAAACACTCATTTCTTTCCCTGCTACGGGCTGGCAGGCGTGCACAAACGAGCAGGTAAACAAACGCAGGCATCTCCAGTCGGAGCAGGAATGGATCTACACTGTTAACAATTGGTGGGGACAGATGTAGCATCGGCTGGACTCCTTTAAGCTGTATTGACACCAGTGTGTTCTCCACGTGGGACGGAATGAAGAGGGAGGAGCGGGTGAAACTTGTTTACCCTCAGCTCAGTTTAAGTGCCCCTTACTGTAAAATGGTAACGCGTGATTTGTGTGTCATTTCCGCCTGTTGAGTGATGATTAGCAGCTCGGAGGTGGGACTTTGGAGGTAATGTTTTCCCCATCAGAGCCTACTACCACAAGTGGCTCCAGCTGTCACCCCTTCCTCCCCCCTGTCCCTCTTCCCACCTGTCTGGGCACCAACAGGCAGGCCAACAGGCACTTCCATCACCAGATTGCCAAACCGCTGGAGCATCTAGACTACAAAACCCAAGGTGACCTTTAACAAAATAGAGAACGCTGAATAACTGTGCCCGCGAGAGTAGAGTGGGTTATGGGAAACACGGGAACATTGCAGCTTCAGATTGAATTGTGATAGATTTTTCTTCATATCGCTCCACATTGTAGCACTCCTTCAGGCGACACTTCCACCTGTATTGTGCAAATAGTATACACTCCTCATGCGTGGTCTAAATTGTGAGTTATAAAAAAAGAAGAAAGCAAGTCTGTCTTCTCACTTAAGCTAAACGTACTGCCTGTATGGCGTGCACACATCTCCAATTAACTCTAAAAATTGCACAAAAATCTGCGGAAAGATACTGAAAAAGCTCAGGCTACGTCTAAACTCTGCCAGCTAAGTTTGAAAAAGCACATTTTTGTCACAGTTTTGGCCCTCCTTAGCCCTACCCCCCACACGGATGTCTTTGGTCCTTTAGAACCAGTTCTTCCAACATCTAAATTTGGATCATTTTTAGTTCTTCATCTGCACTAAAAATCCTGAACGATAGGAAAACGGCTAGATCTCTTCTCTTTTTGTTCTTTTTTTCTATCACTTCCTGCTTTCCATGATCACTGATGTGTTAAAGTACTACCAGTCACAATTAAGTTCTTGTTTACATATTTTTCTTTTTTGTGTTGTCAGACAACTGAACGAGCATAAAACAGTGATTTGATCTCATAACTGCTACCTGTTTCCTGTGCTGCTGCACTGGGACTTGGATTGATCGTTGAATTTTACTACACCAAAGTCGTCACAATAAACACAGATACAGTTAAATGGCAACAACTCGAATGTGTGATCATTATATTGACATACTGTAAAATGAGTGCTGGCAAAGAGGTACAGAGGCTTTAAAATGTACTGATATCTTACAGATGAGATCTACAACACCACTAAAGTAAAACTACGGGGGGAGAGTGGTTGATTTCATGTCAAATCAGCATGTCCCACCATTGCGCTCTAGCACAACCTTCCTCTTCATCCTTATTCTCTACAATCCTTGCTTCGGGAGATTTCAAGACAAATAAATAATGTTCAGTCACTGACAATAGCAAATGCACACAAATAAGTACGGGTGCAACAGCGCATAAAAACGAGCACAAACGGGGCATTTGTCACGTCATGCTTATGATACGAGTTAAAATGAATTATAGGTACATTGTGTATTTCTCCGGTATAAGCTCTGTATATGCTGTGGTTGCTAGAAGGACATTTATTTCTGTTGCGCTGTGCTCACACCTTCCTCGAAATGTAAATGACCCAGATTCTGCCAGCGCTCCCCATCC